CCTTGTGCATAAAATGACTTTTTTTCTTTAAAGAGAGGGGGGGGAGAAGCATCCCTGAACAAAATGAGCTGGTGCTGATGCTGTGTCCCCTCCACGGAGAATCCCTTGCCCCTTCTGCCCTTAACTTTTTTGAAGGTGTAAAGAGGTCTTTTGGTAGGAAGTTTTATGCTTTTCCTTATCAGAAAAAATCCCTTTCTCTCAACAGCCTCTGCTTGTTTTTATTGCATTTTGAACAGTCAGCTCTGATTTTTATGGGCATCTTTTATTCTTGTGTTTATTAAACTTCTTCACATGGGGGTGGGCGTAAGGGATAAATTATTCTCTGGTAGTTTTTGAACTGAATAGGCCACACAGTCTTCCTCAAAAATATAAATCAGTGTCCTGAAGTGTGTCCTGTCCACTTTATGTGTGGGCTTCTGGATTAAAACGTTTTGAGAGATGGGAAGTTCTTGCTGGGCACTGTATTCATTTTGTCTAATGATGTTAGTGCTCCCCAGATCCAAAAGGATAAACAAAAAGATTCCTCTGTGGGAATTTGTGTACATTCAGGTACTTTCTTCTCTGAACTCCAGAGATCTGTCTGTTACAGGAAATAATTTAGCGAGTATAGTTGTGTGCTTGTTCATTTCTTTTATTAACAAGAAGATGAAGACAGCTGAATTTGTGCATCCCTACTCTGGTGTTAAAGGGTGGGGAGTTTCATTTCGGACGGTTGGGTGGGGAAAGGCTGGGTTTATAGCAGTGCTTTCACATGCCCTCATGAATTTTTCAAATCCCTCTTAAAAGGAAGTCCCTAGCCATTCTGCAGTCACCCTGCAGCCTCCTGCTGCTGCTCAGCCCGCTGGCCTGGGACAGCCAGGTTGCACGGGAGCCTTGCACCTGGGACCTCTTTTTTGGGGGGGGGAGGGGGAACATTGCTTTTTTTAATAAAGGCAAAAATTCTGAGCAAGCTGTCACATAGATTTGCTTGAAGTACTGTGAAACCATAAATGCAAGATTGTTGTAAAGAGAGCGAACCTGGTAATGGATATGTATAAGCCTCCGGCTCTGTAGGTTCCTATTGTTACCGTGTTTGGGGGCGCAGCTGAGGGGAGGGACAGGGTGCCGATGTCTTTTTCTTTAAGCGTGTTAATATTGATTTTAGAAGCTCTGTGTTCCAACAATATAAATGCAAATGCCTGTAATTGGGAGCCGCGTGCAGAATTTCTCAACAGAAAACATGTTCAACTTTTCATGACAATGAAAGGAAAATAAAAAGACGCTTATTTATTGCTGGTGGTTTGAATCCTGGATTTCCTTTCAAGTTACTTTGCAGTGCTAAATAAAATACCTAATTGCAGTGCTCGCAAAATTCAAATGGGTACATTTGTTCTTCTGGTAGCTTGCGGCTATTGGCAGCCTCTGGACACCCTCAGCATTATTTCAGCACATCCATAACTTCTGGTTGCGCTATAAGGAAAAGCTGGGGGCAGGGCGGGGGGAAGAAGCCCCAAATGCTGCTGGCACAAATCCCTGCTGAAGTCGGAATGCATACTCGGTGTTGGAAGTGGAAATGGGTGAGGATCTCAAGGTGACGTTTATGGGTGATCAGACTCTGATAAAAGAAAGGAAACCTCTCCTTTTAATTCCCTCGTGCTGTTCTCCTCCACTTTTCCCACCTGGGAAGAAGCAGTGAAGGTCCTTGATGCTGGAGGTGGAGCTGAGCGTGTTGAGCTCACCGAGCTGCTGTGAAACGTGAGAGAGCACCCGGCAGCCTCCCTGCATCACGGTCTGTTGGGGGGTTCTCTGTGTGTGTGTGTGTGTGTCTAAGTGCTCACCATTCCATAATAATTACTAATGAAATTCTAGATCTGTAATAACATTTTGGATATCTAAAACAAACCATATGCTTGTAAAAAAAAAAAAAGTGGAAACAGATCAACTTTAAGCCATAAATTCTTGGTAATAGAGGCCTCTTTCCTCCCCCTCCCCTTTCTGTTTATGTTTGATAGATATTTTTGTTTCTGCAGGAATGTCAACTCTTAATTTCATGATGTATCATGGGCTTAAGAAAATTGAATTTAATAAAGGCAAAAGATGAATGGCACCTTTAAAGGTCCCAACACTTGTCTTTATTAGCAGGACAAACTGCAGGGTCTCCAAACACTGCTTCTCTCCAAATGAAAGTTTAAATGAAAAGTACAGCAGTGTCACAGGTTAAATTTCATTGCAGGACTGGCTAACGTCGTTAGTGAGGAGTGGGACTGATTTCATGGGGCTGGTATCTGTTGCCTTAGATACCAGTGGAGCAAACACTGCCAGAGACTGGAAAAATCTCTGCTATAGGAAGCGTGCAGATAAACAGCCTTTTGGGAAAGGTCCTTTACCACTTGCTTCAAAAACTGACCAAATAAGCTCAAAAGAGTGGCTGCGCTTTCTCCTGAGATGCTCGTCGCTCCTGGGGTTCCACCCCGGTTCCTGGCCGCACTCTTCCTGCAGACCTGCACTAATTCTGGATATTGTTAAATTTTCCACATTTTTTTAGTATAGCTTTTTATTTCCTCCGTCTGTCTTAATCCGACCCTCCTGGAAGTGCTTTTTGCCTTTGGTTCTGGAAGGCGAGCGACGCCTTTGTGTATCAGATCAGCAGCAGGGCTGTCTTTCAGTCTCGCTTTGCATCCAGCCACTTGATGGCCCCTGAGGATGTTTCTGGTCCCTTAGACCGATCTCGGTGTTGCAGCACAGCCCTGCTGTGAAATCCAGCCGGTGCGTGTCCATCTCCAGGAGGGGGAACGCTCGTCTTGCCCTGCCGTGGGCTTGCCCGCTTCCACGGTCACCCCCTTGAGTGGGGTGCAGACCTAAGGGGTAATGAACCGCCCCAGCCCGGTTTGAAGGACGGAGTGGTGTTATCCTGGGGTTAAGCCTGGCTCTGTTATGGTGTCCTGTCCGTTGGCTTCAAACTTTGCAGTCAGTTTTCCTTCTGAACAAAAACTTGCTGCATTCGGAGCTTATCTCTGGTAGCTCTTTGGAAGGGAGGAGCAGCTGTGTCCAGCATTTCTTACTCAGGTTGAGTTTCTCGTGTTTCCACAGGTCCTCCTGGGTGGCTGAGGCTGGTGAGTGTGGCTGCACCACAACAGGCGATCTGGGCGATGCTCAGGTGTTTTGCCTCTGTCCTCCTCCCCCTCCAGCCTATGGGTGGAGTTTTGTCTCTTTCCTGGGGAAACTTGGTGATTCCCGACGGGGTGGTACGGCTGTGGGGAAGGATGTGCCCAAATCTCTGCTCTGCCGTAGCCCACATGACATCCACCGAGTGTGGCACAGCCGACCGTGGGGCAATGATTAAGCCCTGTGTCCTCTGCAGCTTGACTGTTCAGTGTCTACACCTGGGCACTTCAGCGCTGTTAATGCTTTATTTTAACTTTTTTTTCTAACTTTCCATCTCAGCGGCACGTGCTCCCCGCGTGCCCTGGTCTGGGCTGTGTGCCTGCTGCTCTGGGGAGCAACTTTGCTGCGGCCATCGGCGCTGTCCACCGAGGAAATTGGGTGTTTCTCCTGGGCTATTTAAATTATTTGTTGTTTCCATTTACCCACCCAGCTTCTTTCCCTCCTTCTGCCTGCCGGGGTGGTGATGTCATCAGCTCATATGTATGACCTCACGATAATTTCCGCCTGCGGGTCATGAGGGTTGCAGCCAGGGTCCAAAAACTGTGTTAGTTCCTCTGCAGCAGCTCCGTTTTCCACATGCTGATTTTACTCACAGGAGTTGGATTTTTTTTATTTTTTATTATTTCTTATTTGTCTCTTCCAGATGTTTTCAGGCAGTTTTTTTTGTTGTTAAACTAATTCCATTCATGTTTTAAAAATTTATGAAAGCACTAATAAAAATGTCAAAGTGGTAAAATTGTTAGCTTTTGCTCTGCTTTGATTAAATTTTGCAAACTGTTTTTGAATATTAAAAAGCAATATTTTTTTTATTCTCTCTCCCTCTCTCTGTTTCTCTCCAGAAGTGATTTGAGAGGCTTGTTGCATGGATATCACTCAGCGGGCTCATTTGCACTCCAGAACCTTGGTGCCATGCATCTCTATTAAATAACATAGACAAATTATTCTTTAAAGACACCAAACAAATTGTCACTTCTCCTCTTACATTAAACTGGAAGGAGGAGAGGGAGTGGAGAAGGAGGAGGGTGAACACAAAGGATTTTATCGCTTTTATTCAGTGGTCGGCTTTTTTAATTTCATGTATATTTTTTAATAATTGAGAAATCCATCGCAACTGGATTTGTTTAAACTTTTTATTAACAGGTCCATGTAAATTTTTGATTGCTGATTATTCAAATAATTGAACATTCTTCTGATGAAGGAACATTTTTATTTCCCTATCAGCATAAATTGGCTACAAAGAGGAAAATTAAGCAGGGCTTGCTACTGTGTTGTATCCCATAGGGATGGATTTGGCAGGGGGGACTTTCAGCTCCTCTCCTCGCTCTGTTGGAGGAGAGCAGTGCTCCTCAGCTTCTCCTGGGAAGGAGGTGCTTCATGCAGTAGCTCCTGTTGTCTGGCTGGTGGTGTCCTCCTAAAGGACACCAAGGTGGAGAAGGTGGGACTGGTCTTGGGGAGGGCACAGCCCCCGGGGTGGCCTTGCTAAGCTGACGTGAGCCTGTTGCAAGTGCGTCTCCGTGTTCCCTGGGGGGTGCCAGCACATGTGAGTGGTGCCGGACCATCTTCTTTAGGTCCGGCTCAGGCAGCGGTGTGTGCGGTTGCAGCGCTGAGCACAAAGACGTCCCCACCACGTGTCCCAGCTGCAGTGAGCTTCGGCACCATCCTCCTGCGCACTCACAGCATTGGATGTGCTCCGGCACCGCTTTCCCCCTCGTCGTGCAGAGCTTCGTGTCAGGCTTGGTTTTGTTTGGGACTGCCAGGGCCCTCTTTTTACAGCCAGCTTGCTAGGCGGGATCATTTCCAGCTTCATTTTTTGTTTGTTTTAAATGAACAGCTGCTTTTCTTTTTGCCCTATTCAGGAAATCATCGAATTCCCTATTCTGAAGCTGAATGGCAGGACGATGGAGATTGAATCCACCTTTCACATGTATGTTCAGCCTGTGGTGCATCCCCAGCTTACGCCCTTCTGTACAGAGGTAAAGTGCAAAGGTTCCCCGGTGCTCCGAGAGTCTCCCTGGGAAGCAGGTTGCCATTGCATCGGGGGTTGGGCTCACCTCCTCGCAGTGCGGTTGCGAGGCAGGCTGTCATGCCAACCTTGAGCTAAGGACAAGGGGAATAATTATTTTTTTTTGTCGTTGCAATAGGGTGTAAAGACCTCGGTTTGGATTCATAAATAACTCTGCTAACTAAGATCAGTTGTATTTACGACTAACGAACGTCTTCCTGAGTGACCACAAAATAAAAGCACTCGTGTGTGTTAACTGATGCTCAAAACCTTGCAACCTCTCTGTGAGCTCTTTGCGATTTTGCCGTGCTGCTCTTTGGTGGGGAAGGTCAAAGAGAGCATGGTCCGAGGGAAGAAAGTGTCGTACTGCTGCATGGTTCAGAGGCTCTAAATGACTCTCCTGTGGGCCTGCCTGTTGGGATTTGATGAGTCTTTCAGGGTAGTAGGATAACCCATGTCTATGTTTTTAAGACTTTCTTTTTGATGTTGTACTTGTGGGGCACTTGAAATGATTGCTGGAGAAGTGGCTTCTTGTTACTTGGTTATTCTCATTGCCAAGGACAGTTCTCTCGAGTTGTGGATGCCTTTCCCCAGATCCAGACAAGAGGATGAAGGTGTTAAATGCGATCCCTGAGGGTTCAAAGGAATAGGGGGGCAGGAGTTGTTTTTTGGGGGGGTTGTTTTGGTTTTTTCATTCAGCACAAAAAGTTAACTGTTTCTGCAAGTGTGTTCTTGCTCCCTGCTGTAACCATCAAAACAAAGCTTAAGTTCCTTTTGCTTTGGGCTTTTTTTCCTGTCACTCCACTGGTTCGATGTTGGCCGGCTCAGCCACTCTTAAAGTACTGACTGTGAGAATCAGGGTATCCAAGTTCTTTGTTCTGTCCCCATCTCATCCAGGATCATCGATACTGTGGTGTGTTTTCCCCGACCTCTGTGGCTGCAGGTTTAAGCCCATGAAGTGCTTGTGCCATGAGTACTAACTTGATGAAAAATGACTCCTCTGCGTTAGGTGGAGTCCCCTCCAGGACCAACCAGCCCCTTTCATATTTCCATGTTGTAAAAACAAATACTTTTTTTTTTATTCTCTTGTAACTAAAAACCATCTGAAGGTATTTTATTTAAACTTTAAAAAAAAAAGACTAAGCACAGAAAACATTATTCCCAGGAGAGAGGCTTTCAGAAGGCTATAAATGTGGGGAAACAGAGGGCTATAATGGAAACGGTTTTGCAACCTTAATACTAGAAGGCTGGACAACTACTTTGGCTGTCCTTATCCTCATGAGACTTGCTGGACATATGCTTGTACATATGTGATAAATCTCACAGCTTGCACCTGATCTTTGCTAAAAGCAATGTCATCTTCTAAAGTAGAGCCCAAAATATTCGTTCAGCATGTCATCTAAATTCCAGAGAGAAGTTGTCTCATTAACTCCCACCAAAATTCCTTTTTCTGGAAATTCCTCTGTTGCGTCCTTCCCCCTGCCGCTAAAGGCTGCGGCTCAGTTGTTGCAGGAGAGTCTTCATGACTTGCTTGGTGTGGCTGTTCGAGCTGAACAGAGCCTCCAGCCTGCTGCAGCCTGGGGACATTGAGAGGTTCTCTGGATGCCGAGCTTGTGACCGAGACATTCAGCTCATCTAATGTTCCCGCACCGTGGTGCTGGTTTCTCTGTCTTCTCTTGCTCACGGGAGACTGGAACAGCTGTTTGTGTCTCTGCAGGTTTGTGTCTCCTGTGTGGAGCCCTGGAGCAAGCAAAGCCGTGTGTGTGTGTGCTGGCTCTGCGTTTGCAGGAGTCCCCAGGATGTGCACGGGTGTCCCAGCTGCAGCGTTGTGCTGCAGACTCTGCCGCTGACCTCGGTCTGGTGTCTTGTGTCCAGAGTTGGATAAAAATGGGCAGTGCTGAGGTCAGCAGGCAAAATGATCGCAGAACCTCCACTGGTGGGTATCAGTGGCACAAAATGGTCCAACTCACCAGGTTTGGCAAATTCTCTGTTATTAACAGCCTGGGTTAGGGAGCTGGTTTTGATCCTCGCACAGTATGGCCCCGGTCCCTCCTGGCTTGGCAGGCCCCGTCGTGTCTCTTGTAGGGGCTGCCATGAGCTCCAGAGAGTGGGATTGTGCTGGGGGGTAAGTGTGTTGTCCCTGGTTCCCGTATCTGGGGCTGACTTTGAAACCCTACCCTAAGAGCCATGGGTGAGCTGGTTGTACCGAGGACCTTACTAAACAGTTGCAAAAATATCCTTTCATATTTGCAACTGCTTTTTTGCGGAAGCTGTAGTGGCTGCGTAGAGACCTGTGGGGTCAGTGGCTCCTGCTAGGTGGCACAGGGGTCAGCCCCGTGCTGCTGGTGTAGGTTCCCCTGAGACCCCGGGGACGCAACTGGGGCGTGTTGTGCGTCCAGCTCCTGTGGAGCCGCTGCCTGCACAGCTCCAGCATTTACCATTGACTTTCAGCTGTTTTATGTTTTCTGAAAAATACCCATTTTGCTAAATGCCAGTAAAGGGCTTTGTCTAGGCACCTCTACTTACAAAGGGTGAGATTTATTGGCCTCTTTGTCTACAAAGAAAGACCAGGCCTGATTATCAGATTGTACACCAGAGACAAGTGCTTAGGTAATCAGCAAACTGTCTTGGAGTAGAAATACGATGGTTTGCCAGATAAACTCTGTAGGAAAAGCAGTGATGTTGACATTACACGGGAGCCTGTCTGCTGTGCTGCTGCTTTCCCCTTTCCCCTCCGCTCGCTGCCTTTGCTGGGAAGCACTAGGACTGCTTGGTATAGACTGTGTGGGGGAGGATTACTGGGGATGCTCGATGCTACTCCTTGGGTCTGGAGTACCTCTCACATCCGTCTTCCTTCTTGAGAAGACAGCACGGGAATGGTGTCTGCAAGGTTGGAGAGCTCATGGTCACCCTCAGGGCATCCCTTTGCTTAGCTTTTGATGTGTCTGTGCTCTTCCCTGGCTACAGGAGGTTTCTCCCACTCCCCACACCAGTGGCCAGGAGCATGTCTTCCAGGGCTGGCTGGCTCTGTAGCCCTGATCTGGTTCCCTTTCTCTTGAACGGCTTTGTAAAACAACAGGTCATGAGGCTTGGTTATGATGAGGCGTGTGCTGAACATTTAGACAGAAGGTGGAAAGTGCTCGCAAGCGGTTAAAAGCTGTTGTTAGGTGTATAAAGCCCTTTTGGAAGATGCAAGTGGTTTGCCTGATGCCCAAGAAAGTTCGTGCCAGCAGCTTAAGTGAAAGGTTCGCTCCACACTGAAGGTGCTTGTACAGGCTTTTTCGTGGTACTTTGCTCTCTTTTTATGATTAATTTTTATTGATTTTTTTTTTCCTGAAGGAACAGACAATAAAAGTACAAAAAGATAAATGTCTTATAGCTTGTTTATGCTCCCAAGTACCATGTGCTTCTTGGAATCACCAGTGAAACTTTACAATTGTGCAGTTTTATGTTTTTATACTTTATCAAAGCTGCAAGACCAGATAATGCTGCAGAGACCCAGTGCGCTAGGTCGGGTGTTACAGATGAACGTAACTGAGAACAGAAAGGATCAGAAAGGATGAGAGAGTAGAAATCTGGTCCCTTTTGAGCACTCTCTGACCTGTATTGAAATGTTCCCATGTAGCAGGTATATCCCTTTGTACTGATGTGTGCTTGATGATGTGTTCTTGTACAGATAAGTTGGTACTTTGCTTGGCCTAATAGGGAAGGAGTCTTGGGCAAGATCAAGCAGTGACTCTTTGGTGGGACCTCTGTGTCTGCCTTCCCATCCCGCCCTTCTGATGGGAAGTGTCTGGATGAGGCCGTTTCACCCTGTCGTCCCATGGCCATAGCGCTGAACAGAAGCAGTCCTGAAGGTGCCTGGAGTGGTAGAAGCCATTGACATCAGTGCCGACTGTGATACCAAAAGGTTGCCTGTCATCCTTAGTACAGGAAAGACATGGACCTGCTGGAGTGGGTCCAGAGCAGGCCACAAAAAATGATCAGGGGGCTGGAGCACCTCTCTTATGAGTAAAGGCTGAGAGAGTTGTGGTGGTTTAGCCTGGACCTTATAGCAGCCTTTCCATACTTAAAGGGGGTCTGTAAGAGAGATGGGGACAAACTTTTATTAGCGCCTGTTGTGACAGGACAAAGGATAGTGGTTTTAAACTGAAAGAGGGTAGATTTAGATTATATATAAGGAAGAAATTTTTTTACGATGAGGGTGGTGAAACACTGGGACAGGTTGCCCAGAGAGGTGGTAGATGCCCCATCCCTGGAAACATTCAAGGTCAGGATGGACGGGGCTCTGAGCAACGTGATCTAGTTGAAGATGTCCCTGGCTCATTGCGGGGAGGGTTAGACTGGAGGACCTTTAAAGGTCCCTTCTAACTCAAACTATTCTATGATTCTATGATCCTTTCCCAAAAGCTGATCTTTCAGCCACTTCCAGAGGTTTGATTTGAGCTGCCCTCTGAGAGGCAGAGCCAGCACTTTGCAGTAGGTGAGCTGTCCACCTCTGCCAGGCATTGAGAGAAACGGCAAGCAAAGGAAAAAAAAACAACCAGTGAGCTTTATAAACTGCTCTAAAGAGCTGTGTGTTAATCTCTCAAATGTGTTTGCCTCTCAGAGTATGAGAAGTCTGTAGGTAGCAGCTGTTACCCAATTAAAATACAGATTAATAGAAAAACAGTTTCTGGACTATAAAAGAATGTCTGTGTCCCTCCACTTCCTTAAAATTCCACCTTGTAATGGCTTGATGAACTTGAGAAACCCACCTAGAGGAACTCTGCATTCTTAAAATTAAAATACTTTCCCTAAAACGTATATATTACCATTCCATGGAAGTCACTATGAGAAAATAATCTTTCCACTTACAGTTTATTCAGTGAGTCAGGTATTTGGTATTCATTAAATGTAATTACAGTTTAATTGGAGTTTAATCTCTTTTTTTTTAATCTTCCTCCAAGTTCAGCGCTGTAAGCCAAGCAGCCCGAGAAACGGAGAGGTAGAAACCATTGAGCTTCTTTCAGTTGCCACATGTTTAATAAAGCAGAGCCCTGTGGTTTGCGAGAGGGCTTATGTTTTACGAGTAGGTTGAGCTGATCTGTGTGGAAGTTACTCCTGGGTGGTGATGGGGCTGTCAGCACCTCTCCGCTGGACGCTATGGCTTCCGGAGGCTTGGATGCCTGTGCAGGCAGCAGGGCATGCTCCTAGGCTGTGTTTGACCTTTATTTTATGAAAATGTGTGAGATGTTTAGCTTCAGGAAAGTGCCGTATGAAGTGAAATCCTGTAGTGTGCACTTGTTTTAATAATGATTTTTTTAATTACTTGGGTGCATTGATGGCAAGCTACTGACCTCCGATATTCAATATGTTAAAAGACAGTTTTGTCAGTTGGAAGGCAGACAGAAAAATTATCTATTTTCCATGTGCCTCAAGCTATCCCAGACAGACACAGGCAGAAACCCATGAGACCGCGTCTTTTTATTCGTGTGTCTATCTTTAAACAGCCAAGCAGTGTGGGTACAGTCAGTAGGACTATCTGTTGGCAAGACCTGTTCCTAAGGAACCTGCTGAAAAACAGAGTAGACCAGGGTTCTAGAAGAAAGTGGTTTTCTTCAGATTTCAAAGTTGTTTTATATGCAATTTTGAAATGCAGAGGGATGCAGTGATGGACTATGGGAAAGCACACGTGCTGGCTGCCCAGCGCAGGGGAGGATGACTGGGTCCGCTCTGGGTCTCACTTACCAATAATGGTCTATTCTGTCCATCTAACGCTGTGCAATTTTGGTGTCGCTGCGGTAGCAGGGGAGCGACCACAGACCCTGGTAGTTACCCCTGCCTGTGTAAGTCAGAGCAGCATAAAAACTGGTGAAATGCATGTTGAAAAAGGGCAGCATTTTGGGCATTGTGCTGGTACACTTGCTCCCCAAGTGCATCCTGCCCTGCCGAGAGTTTGCTGTTTTATGGTGTGGGTAGGAGCCCCCCCTACACTTCTGTGTTTGGGATGAAGCTGTGCCCTTGCCCATGGCTGAGGAGCTGCCAGGGTCGCTCTGCTGTGGCTGGCTCCTCGGCAATGTCCGTGTGGGTCACAGGAGCACGTGTTGGTTGCAGCGAGATGGACAGGAGAGGAGACCTATCTAATGATCTTTTGAGCGCTGCTCTGACACCTGCTCTCTGTCTCTCGTTTCAGCTGACTGGGATTATTCAAGGCATGGTGGATGGGCAGCCGAGCCTCCAGCAAGTGCTTGAGGTAAGCAGAGTAACCTTTAGTTCCCGAACTCTGACCTCTGGTCCTGTCCTCCCCGCTTCATCTCTTTCTCTGCACCCTCCCCTTGCTGAGAATCGAACCGCGTAATTTGACTATGATTACAGCTTCATTAGAATAACATTTGCTGTCATGTTGGTGACACGCTGCTGAGAGTATTGAACCATTGATCTGTCATCTCCAGCTGTTCACGTCAAGGGTGCTGACAAGATATCCAGACTCCTGCCAGTAGATAGGAGAAGAGGCGATTCTTGCTTGAGCCAGTTTTAAAGCACCCAGACATTGCTCGAGACTGCTGCTCCGGGAGCTTCTGCCTTCATTTTCTTTCCCCTCCCTCAGCACTTTATTAAATTAATTTTTTCTACCTATTTAAATGCTCAATAATACATGTAGTATAGAAAGAAAATGCCTCTCAAATCTAATCTGGAGGATGTGCGAATGTAGATATAGCCCTAATAATGCCATCTGCTTAATGTTGAATTCCTACAGCATTTAGGGCTTAATTAGCTTGGAAGTATTTCTCCATCAATAGCTTTTGTTGGTAGTCAAATAGTGAAGGAAACCTCCTCAAGCAGAGCCTGCTTGAGCTGCAGGTTGGTGTTCGATGCATTGTCTCTGTCAGGATTTCCACTGCTGTGTTACCTAATTGTTCCTAATCAGAATAATTGCAACAATTGCTTATGTGAGGAAATCAAATTAAAGGCTTTAAAATCCTCCATGGAGACAGCACTTCATGGGCGCTCACATCAAGGAGTTTAAAAAGGTTACTGCTGCTGTCCCTTGCTCCGGGAAGCCTTGTGTGGGGCTGGCGGTAAGATCTCAGCAGCCCCAGGGAGGCAAAAATGGGGCTGAGAAGCTGGATGCTGCTTTGCCAGGAGTTTTACTTTAAAGGGACATTGTACAGTCGGTCGCAGAAAGGAGCGCCATCGTCTGCCAGAAAGGCTGCGGCCATGATATGAGACCGAAGATGGTGCTCTGCGGTGGTGACACCTCGCATGGACGCAAACTCCCGACTCTCCCCGGTCCCTGGTGCTCTCCAGTGAGCACGTAGCAGAATGTGTGTCCGTAAGCATACAGATGCCTGTGCCTGCTTCCCCAGGAGGGAGAGCCCTCTTTGCCTGGATGGGTGAACATACATCGCCTCTGGAGTATTACAGAGAATGGTTCATTCTCTTTCTACAGGAGTTTCTTAGAGTGTGGACACATTTATGTAGGGTTTTTTTTAAATTTGAACTGAAGAGGTGTTCGTACAGCAGCATGTTTCTAGGTTAAAATGAGATTTGGGTCAGGCAGCTTCTGGGGCATGCTAGTTTATTCAGCAGTGGAAGGTGTTGAGCAAGGGAAAAGAGGAGGGATTTCTCTTGCTGAAGCACTGGAAATGCTGCTAGTGAGGCTGCATAATAGCAGCTGATTGCCTGTCATGTGCCACTGGAAGATTTTGGGAACATCATTTGCTAGTTCCAGCTGGAAAAAGCATCTATGCAGGGGTTTGAATCTAAGTTCCTCCTGGTTAATCCCTGAGGTGGATCTGCATCCTCCAGATTAATGTGACCCGTTTCTGAAGTAGATCCAGAACATCTGTCCCTATGAGAAGTTGATCTGGAGTAGCAGATTCACTTTAAATCCATGCCGTACCCTGAACAAGCACTTCCTCGGAACCATAAGGAGGAAAGAGAGACCCAGCCTGGAGAGAAAGGGGACGCATGGCTTTGCTTGTTACTGCTGCACAGTGCCTGTGTGTGCCCATTTGTCCCCCTCTCCCCCATCTCCTTGGAGCTGTATGAATGGGAGCACGTGAGAAGTGCTGTAGGTGAGGGATGCCATCCCAGGATGCCAGTGTTTTCCCCTCGCTGGAGGGGACACAAGTTACGCTCACTGCGAGCCCGTTTGGTACAGGGAAAGGAAAAACGGAGGAGGAATGTCAGGTAACAATGCAGTTGTATTGTCCCGCTAACGCTGTACAACTTCCATCCCTCTGTGAGCAGAGCTGCTGCGGTGTCTGATAAGATCATCTCTGCTCTGGTTGCCTGATGTCTGCTATCAGAAATCTTCAAAGGTCCAAACGTGCTGTTGTTGAGATGGCAAGCAAAGAGAGAAGAGAGAGAGGGAGGATAAGATCACAATTTTCTTCTCTCTTGATTGCAAGCAGCTTATCTGAGTTTAACTGTTGTGGCTCGGCCTGTCTCTGCAAAACTCATCCCCTTTTCTTGCCTTCCTTTCAGAGGGTTGACGAGTGGATGGCGAAGGAAGGCCTCTTAGATCCCAGCGTCAAGTCGATTTTTGTGACCTGTGGAGACTGGGATTTGAAAGTGATGTGAGTATGGAAGGGGAGGGAGATTTTTCTGGGCTTTATTGCTCTATGTTTGCCTGTAGTGCCTGTGTCTATCCTTACAAGCCTCTGACTGTCCCTAGTCTTTGTTTCTTAGGGAAGTCGTTGTTTGCCATGCATAATTGGGAGTGGAGGGTTGTTTAAGAAGACAGGTCAGTGCTGGGCATAGTGCAATATCGCTGCCTGGGATATTCCCTATAGTGAATGAATCCTTTTGGAAGCCCAAGAAAGGTTTAAACTGGAACTTTGTGATGTGTTCCCTTTTATCCAATATACTTTGCAAAGGGATGGATATTTCTGAGCGCATACATGGAACTCTGTTTCTGTAGACCCAAATGAAGCAATGGTCCTTACCCGACTTCCATGTGCAAGGCTTTCTCTCTGTCATCTTGGCACACTGACTGGATGTGAATCACAGAATAGTCTTTGGAAAGAGAGTACAAGCCAAGTCTGGCACACTTCATCGGTGTTCTTATTGTTAAGGTCATCTTCATCAGCTGGGCGACTGTATCTGGAGAGAACCAGGTGGGGACCTGCAAGTGTCAGTGTATGCACATGGTTTGTTATGAAAATGGCTAGACCACCAGCCTAAAAATGTTATTTAAAAGAATGGAGTTAAATGTCTAAGAATTAGATTAGTCTAATCTGTAAGGTGTTTGCAGATCAGTGTCGTATTGTGTTGAATTCACTTGGATTCCTGTAATCCCGCTTCAGCTTTTCATTTCCTCAGAGCACTGGGTAAAGACTCCTGTTGTTATCACACTGGTAAAGCATTGACTTGACACATCTGATGCTAAACTGACATCCACAACTCGTTAGTAGTGTTACTTGGTTTTGTGTGTGACATTGGTTTCCCCAAGTTGGAAGCCTAAATAAACTGCACACAGCCTGGGAGCAATCAGCACCAGTTCTTCCCGCAGAGTGGTCTTTGTAGAGTGGCAGCTCCTTGCCTCTTCTTGGTGTGATTAGCGAGACATGAGATATGAGGACCAAAGCAGCAGCACAGGCACTAGTGGAGATGAGAAATTTGCCATGCTCCAGACAGGAGTGAGGTATACGAACTTTTGAGTCAAAATCTTGGTCTCTGCTGTGGCCGTGTCCAGAGCTGGTATATATTGCCAGTTCCTGTGTTACTGGTTTAAATTAAGAGTGAGGCTTATTTTTCTTTATATATCATGTTTAAACTTTTATTAGAGACCAGCACAAAGACAGCTGCAGAGATGCTGAACTCCTGTTTCTCATCTGTTCTGTTTTCTAAGTTCTTTACTCCTGTACTGCTGTTCTGCGAGTCCAGTTTACTGCTTTTGGTGCTGGTTGTGAGGAACAGAGTTATCTGTGCTCAAAGCCCATCTTTCCATCACTTTCCCAGTGGGATAACAAGGTTTCCAGATAATGACATCCTAATTTGGTGTCTGTATGGAGTGGGCAACCTTCTGGATGTTAGGTTTTTTCGCTTCAGAGCTCTACAGTGGGCAAAGAGGGGTAAAGATGAGCCCCATTTCTGGTGAGCCATAGGGCTTGTGGGGTGAGCTGGCTCAGCAGGACGTGCAGTTCTGGAGCAGAGATATTTGATTCACCATTTGCAGTGGTCTCTCGCATGGATTGTGCCTCACTAGTCAGCTGGAAAAGAAGACTCCACTCCTAGCCATGAGGTTGCAGCGAGTGGTTCATTTCTCCCTCTTCCTTTTAAAAAATTTTTTTAAACCATTAACTTCAGAATTCAATCCTGAAGCGTCTCCAGGGCAAAGCAAAAAATACATTTTGTGTTTCCACCCACATGGATAGCAGGAGTCTGGCTGCAGCCGCTTGGTGAGTAGCACATCACGCCACTCCGTCGCCGATTGGGTGCCGCAGCGTGTAGCGTCACATCTGATTAGCGCCGTGCCAGTGAATGAGGCTTGAGTGAGGACTCCCTGCCAGCTCTGACTTGTCTCATTTCCCATTACTTTTATCCGTCACCACAAATGCCGAGTCTTCCTCCTGAACTAATTAAGTTTGCGTGTGTTTAGACACATTGCCAAATAGGGTTTAGCAAAGCAGAACTGAGCATCTCTTTTTAAAGAGAAAAGGCAGAAAGCTGAAACAAGGCTGCTCAGACAGGGAGATAGAGCCTTAGAGATGTGGAACATCCCGAGTGTATTCCAGGGAATCGCCCCGTGCTTCCCTGCAAGGCTTGTGTTGTACCTGGTGCCCTTTGCTGCTGCGTGGAGACCACGTGCTGGGCACGGAAGGCACTGTGGTAAGTACGAAGGGAGGTGGTGCTGCTTGTCCACGTTTGGAGAAGTGTGCTGGTGGAAGGATTGCGTGATAGAAACCCCACTGAGTTCCAGAGGAATTCAAGACAGTGAGGCGAGAGCAGCGCTTCCTGGCTTAGGGAGTGGCATCTTGGGGCAGGGCCGATCCTAACTCTGCTGCTCCTCTTCTCAGCTTCCTTAGTAATGTCAGCTACTTGCACAGCTGCCTGTGAAGCAAGCTGCGGTCCTCTTACCCAGTGTCTTGTGTGATTTGGAGTTCCTGTCCTCTGTTCTCCTTAGCTCAGCTGATGGTGGGAAACCATGCAGCCTTGTTCATGGCTTCTCCAGCAATGACCTGGGCATTCAGTTTGGCTTTGGTCTGCATGTACTGTTGAAGAGTTAAGGCATAGTATCTTCTAGACAGGCCTGTCTACTGTGGGTGTTTCTAGTGGGTGCCACTGGCGGGTGCCAGGGTGCTGGGAGGCACAGTGGGGTGAGCAAGCTGTGTGGGGATGGTGGCTGGAACAAAGAGGAGGGATATACAAGCCTGTTGGTGGTGGATATGGGTACAAGGTGAGCAAATAGTCCTGTCAAAGCCAGGAGTTGCAATATGCGTAGCACTGCTAGCTCCAAGACAAGCACAAAAGGAGTAGCGGTTGTCAAGGTACTGCTTTCTGCTGGTGGTGTCTAGCACTGAGTGTGCAGGATTCAAGATGGAAACTCAGCTGTTAAAGGACCTGCAAAGCCTCTACTTGTCTCAGGGATCTTGAGGGAATGAGGCACTGTGTGGCTGCAGACTTGATTTCTCTTGAACGTTGCAGCTTTCTTGGAAGATCGGAGAGCTGTTTGGCTTCCCTCTGGCAACAAGGAGTACTAGTCACAAGGAGGTGGGTGCCTAGAAGAGGACACACCAAGCATCTAGGAGGGGCTTGTGGAGGTTTCACGTGAGTCTAGGTCCTCGGCTGTGCCATCAAAGGTTTTTTTGTGAGCAGAAGGAGAGTCCCTGTTGGAGGGATTTGGCTGCTACTGGAGAGAGCCCATTGCACAAGAGGGCTCAGAAATGGAGCACCGATCCTCTGCTGGCTGCACTTGGATCAACTGGCTTTCAGCGCTCGGTGTGTGAGAACCAGGCTGGAGTCAGGGAGACAGCAGCTCTCCTGCCACCCCTCCTCTTCCCTCTTGTTAAGATGCAATTTCTTTAATGAGGAAAACCTCTTGAGTAGGAACATCACCTTTCTGAAGGCTTGGCCTGACAAGGCAGTTCAAGCCGACAGAGTCGCATATCAACTTCAGCAAATATCAGTCACTCATTACAGAGACTCTTCTCCCCCCCAACCCCCCCAGCAACACCCCTCGTTCCCAGACAAGGGAATGAATCACACTCCTGCTCTTGAATACATCATGACAAGTGGTGGTTCTAATGAGAAAGGGCCATTCATTCTGGGTGGAAAGTTCCCTGTGTCGACACGGAAATGTTATTAATTAAAGAGAGCTACCTGAAGCAAAAGATGAAAGGAGCACCAGACCTGCCAAGCTAAAATATGAGTGGGGATACAGCCTCGTTAGGCACACGGTCCTTGGGCCTCTGAGCGCTCAGCGGGAGGATTCCTTTAGCCTGTTGCAAGGAGCTATCCTCCAAGTTTAACATCTCCAGGGCCGGATTCGGACACCTGGTGTAGTCAGCTTTAGTGCTTGGACCTCATCCTGCACCTAGGATGGAACTGTCACTAGTGATTAGGCAAATTGCATCGACATGGCATTGGGTGGTGAGGGTAACGTGCCTCTGAAGGGCTGAGGGTGCCGCTGACTGCAGGAGATGGTTTTAGTGGAAAGAGGGTACTCTGTGTATGCCAGGGTTGAGCCCTTGTAGCGTGAGCTCTTTAGTGTGGTTTGTGTCCTCTGAAATGTCAAATTGGCTCCCTTCACATACAGAGCCGGTTTACCTGCTCTTAAGCGCAATGTGAATTAATCCTGGCAACCGAAGAAGCATTTTTACTGTGGGTTCATAGCTACAGAGCTGAGCTGCAGTGAGGCTAAGTGATACGCCTGTGGTCGTGCAGACAGGCAGGGGCAGAGGAAGGAGCTGAAGCCACACGTGCTGAATCTCAGACCTGCATCTTAATGTCAAGAGCATCAGTTAATCCTTTTCCTTCCAGTTTTGGATCATTCTGCAAATGCATTGAACATAGGTAAACATGCATGTAGGCTTTGGTCTGTATACCTCTGACATGAGGATGCTTATACTGCACTTACCATGGCTGATCAGAACATGCTAATTTATGCCTTTATAGGAAACTACTGCTCAGAAGTTTTTCATTTCCTTAAATAAGTGTTAAAAGGCAAGTACTCTCTAATATAGTGATAAAACACAGTGAAGTGTCTTGAAATGTTTATAGCCCTTGGTGCTCTTCCTAGGTTGCATATTAGTAAATTCTGAGCAGTAAATTACACTGTTGCTTAATTTTATCTTACTGTTTTAATTCTTTCTTTGCAAGTTACAGGCTGGGAGGATGCTTGCCTTCTCAGACCAGCTCCGAGTGCAGCAACGGGTTGGTCTTTCCAGCCTTCTGTCCTGGATGCTTGGTTTGAGATCAGCCTTAGGTCATGAATGAAGACGGATTGATGGTGTTAGTGTCCCTTGTGTATGTTGTTCTTTATCACAGGACCGGGAGGGTGTTGGTAGCGTCTGCCTGGGGGAGAAATTGCAGCCAGCCACTGAATGGAGCGAATGGGACCGCTTGGGTAGCCATG